AAAAAAAAAATTGATTCTTGAAAATGACTACATTTTCTTCTTTTTTTTGTTTTTAACATTTCTTCTCTTGTAGGAAATGTCAGACTATTGGAACAAATTCTGAATAGCCATGAGACTCTGACAAGAAAAAGTGAGTCTTCTGATAAGGGCTCCCTGATTCCGTCTAGCAGAACATGGGGTCCTGAGAGGAAAGACAGGTAAAATGAAGAGACTGGAATGAAAATGAATTGGAAATTTCCTTAGGAATGACTGTAGTAAGCCATAGCATTGCTTTTTACAAAGGTGGCAGGTTTAGTTACTATTTCCTGCTGCTGCTGTAGCTTCCACTGTTACATATTTATGAAATGAATGGATTTCTTTGTCTCAGAATGTAGATGACTAATTTCTGTTGAAATTGTATGTGGAATTTGCTTAAAAAAATAATGCAGAGGAGGTTGAAGAATGGAATGGCTTTAGGGAATAGACAAAATGGGATGGCCATGAGTTTATGCTATTGCAATTTAAGAAATGGGGGTATGGGAGGTTTATGATAGTATTGTTTTTGTGTATGTTTGAAATTTTATGCACTAAAATTTTTTTAAAATTATAAAGAAATCCACCTATGCCAATGTCATGACCATCGCAAAAAATATAAATGGAGGGCCATATCTAACCACCTCTGGCTGCCCTGTTGCCAAGAGGCAGGGGTCAGTCAAGCCTCCATGGCCCATGCTTCTTTACCTGTTTGGACGCTGTCTATTCTTCCCATGCTGCAGCTCAGATTCTTTTATAGCAGGGTGTTTTTTTGGTTTGTTTTTGTTTGTTTTAATTTGCCACAAGTTGTTTGTTTAAGAACTTTCCTGGACTAATTTTGTAAAGTATGTACCTTTGTTGTATGTAGCCATAGAGATCTCTGGTTAGCTTAGCGAGCTAATGAGGGAAAGCAATTTCCTTAAACTTGAACCATTAAGTCTCCCTAGTTTTGTCAAAAGGCCCTGTGTGTGCAGGTGTGTGTTAGGGCGTGCTTTGAGGGTTGCGGTGGTTTCTGTCTGGCTTTGCTTCACTTCCCCTTCCCCTTTGTGCAGAACTTGAGGTGGGCTAGACATGAGAGAGTAGGGTCTTCTCAGATCTTTATGCATATAGCTTGGCATGTGACCCACTAGATCCCAAGGACTATATTGGAACTTTTTTTATTTTAATCATTTTATTGGGGGCTCATACAGCTCTTATCCCAACCTGTACATGCATCCATGTGTCAAGCACATTTGTACATTTGTTTCCATCATCATTCTCAAAATGTTTTCTTTCTCCTTGAGCCTTTGGTATTATCAGCTCCTCATTTCCCCCCCTCCTTCTCCCCCCCTCCCTCACAAACCCTTGATAATTTATAAATTATTATTATTTTCATGTCTTAACACTGACCAATGTCTCCCTTCACCCACTTTTCTGTTGTCTGACCCCCAATATAATGGAGCTTTCCAAAGGCCCTTGTATGCATCGCACTCTCCAGATTTGAAAGGTTTGTTGGCTAACATCTTGTTTGCCTCAGCTGGCACTGCCAGGTCATGTAGCGGAGGTGCTAAACACAGGTATCATGGAGCCTTTTCAGTGAATGTCTCGGGGAAAGGGTTTCTCACTGAGTCAGGTCAAATGAAGGTAAGTCCCGTGAAGGTAGCTTTTAGGGGAATCTCTTAACAGTTCGGAGCCCTTTAATGGTTTTCATAGCCACCATGATTGGTAGCTATTGAGTTTCAAGGCAGTAGCACGGAGGTGAGATGCGAATGTGGCAAGTTAAAAATGCCATAAAGTATTTTTTAAAAAACTAAGATTCAGCTTTAAAAAAAAAGGCATTACTTATAAACTTTTGTTTAATTCCCAGAGTTCTGAAAAGGTTGATTTTAACAATTTTTGCCAGTGTCCTTGCTGCTTGTATGAAAGAATGTATTTTCAGACAGTCTCATTCCCTGATTCTGGAAGTACTCCCTATTGTTTGCTTTTTTTAAGGCAAAGCATTTTCCTGCCTGTTCCCTGTATCCACGAACCTGTCTGCCAATGTTGTCTCATGACTTGGCTTTTCTTATGTGTGGTCACATAATTAATTCTACTGTACAGTTTTGATGTATAACAGTATATATAGCAAAGATTTATATTCTTGCACTTACTGACTCTATGAAACGTGGGAAACTTTTTACACTCTTCTACAGCCTTGACGCTCTGCCCTCTCACCCCTGTCCTCCCTGTGATGAGCGAGCAGCAAGTACAGTGACTGCACAGAAGGCCGAGGAGGATCGTGACCAAAAGAAGAGTGAAACCAGTGGCATGCTTCAGGTAAAGTGGGATAGGATGTTAAATCTGGTGATTGAGATGACAGTTATGACAGAATCAAAAAGTCCTGAAGGCAACATAAGTAAGGAAGAAGGCACAGTCACTGAAGAAGACATGTCAGCCCTCTTGTGTTAGTCCGGGTAGACTAGAGAAACAAATCCAGGGAGTCTCGTGTGTGAAAGAAAGAGCTTTATATACAAGAGCAATGGAACATTGAGAAAACATCCCAGCCCAGCCCAGATCACGTCCATAAGTCTGATATTGGCTCATATGTCTGACACCAATCCATAAATTCCTATTCAGACTCCCTAAACACATGCCATGACACTGAATGCAGGACGATCATAGGCCAGTGGCTGGAAAGTCTTGTGGGTCCAGTGGCAGTGGAAGCATCTCAGCGCTGGCAGAGGTCTCCCAGTGGTTTCTCCAGCTAGGGCACTAGTGTAGCGCCATGTGTCTTGTCAGCTGTAATGTCTCCCAGGGAGTGAGTCTGTGCTCTGCCTCCAGCGAGCTATTTATCTCCTTAGTGCCTCCAAATGAGGTCATCAAGCTGTGACCTGAAGGACAGGCTAAACTCCACTCCTTCACTCTTAATCCTCTCAAATTGACAATTATATAACTATCACATCTATCTATAAAGGGGACTTTACAAAGTTCATAGAAAAGTGGCATTAAAAGATAATGTATTTCTTTCCTAAACTTCATGAAGCTCCTTTATACTCCTTGTAGAAAGCTTTTGAGAGGCCAGGACTGAGCCACAAGGCCACCTCTCACTTTCTATCTTGTTTTATAGAGGGAGGACGGAGGAATTGATTGCCATACTTATCAGTAGCCACCTTAATACTATTTAGTTTTGGCTTTGTTCACCAGACACAGCTCTTAATGGTCATTGGACTGCTTAGCGCCACTGGGAATATTCCTCATTTATTGCTTGTTTTCCACTTCTAAGTGGAAAGGAGTCATAATTACCAAGTGTTCTTCTGTGACACTTCAATTTGACATCTCTAGGTGCTAGTATATATTGGTACAGTGTATGACACCAATAATAGTAATAGCTTTAAAAAATTTTAACAGTCAATATGAGTTTTACATGGTACTATCTTTTTTTTTTTTTAAGCCCAAAGAATCTTTGATTATGTCAAGGCTGACTGATCTTCCCCAACATCCACTTAAATTTCAGTCAATTAAACCTACAAGATCCATAGTGAAAGATGCAGAGAAGATTTTGAGAGGAGTACAAAATAATAAAAAAGTGCTTGAGGAAAACCTGGAAGCTATTATCCGTGCAAAGGATGGAGCTGCCATGTATTCGTTTATCAACGCCCTGTCCACCAACAGGTAAGAGCGCGCATTGTCATCTAAGGCTATTTTGTGAGGCTGCCAGTTGTATCAGCTTTTTTAATTTTCCTACGCACTTCATTTTGTTTAATATGATTTATGTTAAAAAGGTTACTCTTTTTTTCAGATTAATTTTTTAATCGTTTAATTAGGGGCTCATACAACTCTTATCACAATCCATACATATATCAATTGTGTGAAGCACATTTGTACATTCATTGCCCTCATCATTCTCAAAACATTTTCTCTCCACTTAAACCCCCGACATCAGGTCCTCATTTCCCCCCCTCCCTCCCTACTCTCCCCCTCCCTCATGAACCCTTGATAATTTATAAATTATTATTTTGTCATATCTTGCCCTGTCTGACGTCTCCCTTCACCCACTTTTCTGTTGTCTGTCCCCCAGGGAGGAGGTCACATGTAGATCCTGTAATCGGTTTCCCCCTTTCCAACCCACCCTCCCTCTACCCTCCCAGTATCACCACTCACACCACTGGTCCTGAAGGGATCATCCGCCCTGGATTCTCTGTGTTTCCATTTCCTATCTGTACCAGTGTACATCCTCTGGTCTAGCCAGACTTGCAAGGTAGAATTGGGATCATGATAGTTGTTGTGTGTGTGTGTTTAGCATTTAGAAACTAGAGGAAAGTTGTATGTTTCATCAGTGCTATACTGCACCCTGACTGGCTCCTCTCCTCCCCGAAATCCTTCCGTAAGGGGATGCCCAGTGGCCTACAAATGGGCTTTGGGTCTCCACTCCGCACTCCCCCCTCTCATTCACTATGGTAAGATTTTTTGTTCTGATGATGCCTGATACCTGATCCCTTCAACACCTCGTGATCACACAGGCTGGTGTGCTTCTTCCATGTGGGCTTTGTTGCTTCTGAGCTAGATGGCTGCTTGTTTACAAAAGGTTACTTATTACCTTTTAAGAAATGAGTCTTATTGCAATGTTGGAATTTGAACATACTTATGTACGTGGAATTAATCATGGAAATTTGCTTATAATTCATTTTTTCTCTATGATACACATCTTCTGGGATCCACATGTATTTTTCAAGCATTGAGCTTTCAGACTTTTGGGTGAAGTCTAGTAACACTGGTGTTTCCTTTTCAGATGAAGGATATTAGGCTACATGTTAGAGGCAAAACTAGGTAAGAGTTAGATCTGATCAAGGTTCTGTTCTCAGGAGAGTAAGTGCTAATTTAAGAGAAATATCTTTCTGTTTTGCAGAGAGGTGTCAGAGAAGATTCGGATTAGAAAGACAGTAGATGAGTGGATAAAAACTATTTCTGCAGAAATACAGGTATGTCTAGAAAAGAATTAAATGACTTGTAATTTAAAACTATCACCTACTAAAAATATTTCTTATACATACATCCACTTAGGAATTCCTACTTTCACTCTATTCCTCTCTATATTTACTTAAAATAATTAATTTTCCCTAGTAAGTGCTATGTTTCACATTATATCCTGTGTCTCTGGCAGACTGGTAAAAGATAACTAAAATGAGTAACTAAGGGAAAGTAGCTTAGAAAAAACCCTAGAAAAGACATATGCTTGCAGAGATGTGTTGAGACCAGGGATTTGGAAACAAGGTTATGATGTTTATAAAGGTCAGGATACATCTTCACACACAAGCATTGCAAAAGTGTGGGAGAGCCATTCTTAATAGAGGATTTGTGGAAATATGCGAGATTTTAATAGTTTCAGCTCTATGGACAGCAGAGCAGAAGGGTAACTGCATTATGTTTGCTTATCTTGGAGTGCCGGTGTTGATGGTGAGACATGGTTTACATATGTGCTTGCCTACTCACATGATAACTAGGTAAAGTGTCAGTTTTATTTCCCCTGAAGTAAGCATTGAAGTATATTTCAAAATGTTGTTGTGTAGAAATATATCTCTAATGCAATTATCAAAAATACATATCATCTACTATGTGATACACAGGAAAACCTTGAGTCAGAAGACTTAGCATCTAGTTCTGGATCTCTAGCCAAGTGGCAATATATGTTATGTATATTATGAATCTCATGCAAAATACACTGATGAGAATCATCAAGTAATTTTAATTAAAATAAATTTGTAGTTGTATTACAAAATTGTTCCCTTTTCTGGGGACTTTTTTTTTAATTAAAAAATTTTAGCTGTTGCTACATTTGTAGCAACACCAAAAAGAATAAAATGGTTTAAAATGAAAATTGCCTTCCCAACTGTGTTAGTCTGGGTTAACTAGAAAAACAAATCCAGAGACACTCATGTGTGCTTTCTATCAAAGAGCAACTGTATATTAAGAAAACATCCCAGCCCAGTCCAGATCAAGTCGTTAAGTCCGATATTAGCCCATATGTCTGATACCAGTCTATAAATTCCTCTTCAGACTCACGAAACACATGCAATGACACCCAATGCAGGATGATCATGGGCCAGTGGGTGGAAAGTCTTGTGGATCCAGTGACAGTGGAAGTGCCTCAGCGCTGGCAGAGGTCTCCACACGGCCCCTCCAGCCCCAGGGCTCTGGCTTCATCAGCGTAGTTCCATCTGGCTTATCAACAGGGATGTGTAGCCGAGAGTGTGTGTCTGGCCTCCAGTGAGCTATTTATCTGATTGACGGGCTAGACTCCACCCCTTATTCAAATTGACAGTAGATTATGTAACTGCCACACCAACCCTGTGTCTCTACTACATCCCATCTGCCCCCACTCTATAATATACGAGTCTTTTTAGCTGACACTCCATAGAATTTTTCTTCATATGAAAGCCAATATACTTTTTTAATAAAGTTAAATATTAAACTATATATATTTTTAAAAATTATTTTATTGAGGGCTCGTACATTTCTTATCACAGTCCAAACATCCATCCATTGAGTCAGGCAACTATGTACACCTGTTGCCCTCATCAATCTCAAAACATTTGCCCGCTACTTTAGCCCTCAATATCGTTTGCTCTTTTTCCCCCTCCCTCTCCCCTCCCCCCTCCCTTTAAACTATATTTTTGTAAAAGCAGAAAATAAACTAAAATTTTGTTACGTAAAAGTATTGCAACTTAAGTGCATTCTTATTCATTTTTATTTTGATTATATTAAGGATGAGCTGGCAAGAAAAGATTATGAACAAAAGAGATTTGATCAGAAGAATCAAAGGACCAAGAAAGTGCAAAATATGAATAAATATATTAAGACCCACAAACAAGATAAAACTGTAAACAAAGCCATAATTCCGGGGAAACATTGTCCGAAAGAAGCAGAGGAGCATTTTAGGAATCTACCTGCGAGGAACATGCCTGTCTCAAGCTTACAGAAAGAGAGAAAAGAAGTAAGATTCTAATCTGGTTTTATGACATAGATACTGTATCATAGTAGATCATGTCCATCTTGATATAAATTATCAACTGAAAAGTTTAAAAAATAATGCAGTACTATCCATATGTAAGCCATCTTTAAAATGTTGCTACTTAAGGTTGTGAATATCTGCAGTGTGGAAGTCGTTGCTCAAAAATACATAGTTCCTTCGGAGCTGTCAGGGCTGAGAGTCAAAGGTCTTAGTTGTAGCAGGTATATCTAGGGAGCACTTTGTTAAAAAATTAAATCAGCCTCTGGTAATAGTATTCAGATTTGTAGTTCATTTTGTGTGTTCGTGCGTATCTGTATGGTTATCTGTTTTCCAGTTCAACAAATGTTTGTTTTATTCCTGAGGATAGTACTAAGTGCTAAGGAGGGAATTTTTTAGCTGCTTTAAGTGGTAAATTTCCTAAACATGAGTTTTTAGGAAGATTAATGAAGCATCTAATTCAGTTCTTAGCCCTCAGTAAATGCTATTTTTTTCTGAGGCATTTATTTTATGATACAAGATGAGATCAAGAATAAAGAAAGTCATTCAAAGACTTGATTTATTGTTATCTTTATTGCAATTGAATGTTTAAAAAATGTTTTGATACTCAGAATATACTGAGTAAAGTAAGAATAAGAACTTCAATGTTTCTTAGATGGATGACTCTCATATTTAATTTTCATGCTTTTAAAAAACATGTTTGAGAACTGTGTCCAGATAGCACTTAAGTAGGGTTCTTTAAAACAGGATTGTTCTCACTCGATGAATCTCAATGTGATATTTAAGCTATGAAACTGAAGAAAATGCATGTGAGATGACCGTTCTTGATGAGTTCAATAACTTTGTATACATAGGGCCTTTTGAAAGCAACCACAGTGCAACAAGGTGAGAGTTATATGTTACAAGTTTATGGGAAACCAGTTTATCAGGGCCACCGCAGCACTCTTAAAAAAGGACCATACCTGAGATTTAACTCTCCTTCTCCTAAATCCAAATCGCAGAGGCCAAAAGTAATCGAACAAGTTAAAGGTAAGGAACCTCTTTTTTTGGGTAGTCAATCTCATTGTATGATATCAGTTTAATTCGTAAAGTTTTGCTTTCATTTCCTTTTCATTTACAAATAGAGTTCAAAATATATCTATCATGCTTTTTTGGGTGGACTAAGTAATTCCTTGTGTGCAAGGCAGGAAGGTTAGAACTTAAAGATCAAGGCACAAAGGCAGGAAGGAAGAAGGGGAAGAAAAGGAGGAATCGATGGTGTCTTCAGATGAAGCATCCACACACTTGGCTTAGAGACATAAGTCTCGAACACTCTGGTCACCACCCATGCGTCAGTTTGCCGTACCGTGGAGGCCTCCCTGCTGCTCTGATGCTGGAAGCTTTGCCAGTCAGATTGCATCTGCCAGCCCCGGGGGACGCGTTTGAGTAGAACTTCTGGACGAAGACTAGAAGAAAGGCCTGGCTCTCTCGTCCTCAGAATTAGCCCAGGAAAACCGTATGATTTATAACGGAATATTCATTGTGGTGCTAGGAGATGAGTCCTCTAGGTTGGGAAGCACTCAGTGGCCATAGTAATTACTTCAAAGTAATTTTGAAGTTGGTGCAGGACTTGTAGCGTTTCGTTTTCATGGGGTCACCTATGAGTGAGTCGAGCAGCTGGCAACAAAGCATTCTAATGACCATCCAGAGGACACGGTGCTTCGGTTTTCAGGAAAAGGAAAAGCAGCCATATGGTGTGCAGTGTCCTAAGCGTGCTTGTGGGCACTTTTCAAGGCTAGTTTGTTTGCTCTCAAACACCTTAGGTGGCAAAGACGAAATATTCCCTGTTACTTATGTGTCACTGCGTATTTTGATTCCTGTCTCCCATCTCCCATCGGCTGTACCTAACTGTCCCTGCCATTTCTGAATCTCACGTTGGTTAAATACGTGGGGTCTTCCTTTGGAGGTTGCAGTTCTGATACTTAGACTTAATATCCTTTTCTTTATTGTAACTTTGCTCTCTACATGTATGTGGGGTCTTGAAAGCCATTGCCAGAAAATAAATAACTCCAGGCTTTAAAGTGCGTGTAAACACCCCAAAAACCCTTCTTCAAAAACTCTTTGACGGAACTAAGTGAGAGCCTGTGGGGGCGCAGGCTTCTCCTGGGCCGTGGCGTGTGGTACAGTGATACCTGGAGGGTGCTTCCTCAGGATGGTCCCTGGCCTCAGCCCTCACTTCATTTGGATCTCTGCTCGTAGATGTTAGCTCCTCAGAGACATCTACTCTGATCATTCCACCGGAAGGATGGCCTCCCGTCCCCCTCAGCCCGTGTGCATCGCCTTCATGGTTCTCTGTGGCACATTCCATAGCAGATAGCATATTTTTACTTTGATTCACCACTGTCTTTCCTGTCTGAACAATGCCTAGCACATAGTAACTACTTACCATTTTAAATGAACACCCCGTAAATACAATCATTCCATAAAGTAAGTGGATATCAGAAAACAGAATAAACAAATATAGATGTGGTAATAAAACAATTCCTCTTTCTTCTTAGGAAAAATTAAGTGAAAGTGGCATTTAAAAGTCTCGACTCACAAAGTCGCCTACATACTGGAATACAAATGTGGTTGCTCAGGGCCTTCAGTCCCTTCTGACTCATAGCTACCGTGTGCGACAGAACGAAACGCTGCCTGGTCCCGCGCCTCCTCCCAGTTGTTGTCATGCTTGAGCCCACTGTTGCGGCCCTGTGTCCGTCTGTCTTGTTGAGGACTTCCCTCTTCTTAGCTGCCCTCATACCTGAGCAAGCACGAGGTCCTTCTCCAGGGACCGGTCTCTCTGGACGACATGTCCTATGTATAGAGACACAGCCTCGCCATCCTTGTCTCTAAGGAGCACTCTGGCAATACTTCCTCCAAATAGATTTGTTTGTTCTTTTGGCAGCTCATGCTACTTTAGTGTTCCTTGTCAGCACCATTTTGGAGTAATCAGGAAATTATGTGGAACCTAGTTTAGTCTTCTTCCTTTGCACCTTTTCTTTTTTTTTTTTTTCTTTCTTTATTTTCCTTCAGTTCTGTAGAAATTTATTCACCTCTCCAAAGGAACAGCAAATTTCAAAAATCTTAAGAGTCAATATAACGTTTCTATTTAGACATACCCTGTAGGAATAAAACTAAAATGATATTAACTTGTATAAAATTTTAAGAGAATAAATTAACCTTTGAAGAAGAAAGTAATGAGTTAAAAAAATAGTATCTGAATGTTCCTCAGAAACTTTGCTCACCGTTTTTCTCTAGTCGTTTTGTTTATTTTATCATAGCAGTAGTTACAAGATGCACATCTCTTCACAGATTGGCAAACTGGCTTGCAGGCCAGTGGCCTGTTTTGTAGATAGTTTTATTGGGACACAGTCATACACATCTGTGTACGTATTGCCTGC